GGAGAGAGAGAGAGAGAGAGAGAGAGAGAGAGAGAGAGAGAGAGAGAGAGAGAGAGAGAGAGAGAGAGAGAGAGAGAGAGAGAGAGAACACATGAGAAGTGCCACTGCAGAAAATAAATTTCATGAATTGTTTCTTGGGCGACCTTTTTATGCTTTTACTTTTTGACATTTATTCTTCTTCTTGCTCACACTTAATTTTTTGTTCCAGTAGTATAAAACAAATAATCGTAATTGCTGTTCCTTTTTCCTCTTTTGTTAACAACTTTAAGCGAAAAAACTGTACTTTGTGGACGGAGGAACCGGGACCATTGAGACCATGACCCTGCAAGGCGGAAGTCGCCGAGAAATTCTCAAGGACGTTGGTTCACATTTTTTCGCCATCGACGTTTTTGACGATTACCTCTACTACACTGACTGGAATCACAAGTACGCGCTTTATGTGAAAATGGTATAATTTGCTATCGTTTTATTTTTCAAACGTGAAACCCCTTTCGTAATGTTTTTTTCTGCTTTTCTAATTTCTATCTTTTAATTATTATTTTTCTTTGGGATCAAATATATATGTCACGCAACTAACTATGGTTACTTACTATTCTTAAACAAGTTTCCCGTAGCTACCACGAATACTCCTTTCAATACTTTCATGTAGAGGTACAAACTCCTTTTTTAGCATGTATGACGATATTTTTATCGTCTTAAACTATTTATTGTTGGCAGCTATGACTATATAACGACAATCCAGTGTTCAGGTGTCTTTGCAGATTCCTACTAGTTAGAAACAAATATTTAAAGTGTTTCAAATAAAGTGCTTTTACACAGCCCTTTCCGTTATCTTTTTCCACATAAAAAACGCTTTAGATGAATCTTATAGGACTAAATAAAACGAAGCTTCGTTCCACCTTTCAGCACTTTAATGAGAGTGAACAAGGACGGTACGGGGAAGACAACTGTTGGCCCTCCCAGTTTCCGGGAGCTGGCAGACGTGAAAGTTCACAAATATGGCTATGACTTACCAGGTAACTGCCCAAAATGATAACTTTTGTCCAAAGGCAAGTATTGGCTCCGCTGGAGAAACAACTTTGTTCTGAATTCCAAAATTTGATGCAATATAACATTTTATTGCTTTTTTTCCCTATTTAATTCCACGTGCGTTGCACAATTGTAAACTCAAGGTAATAGAATAGTAACAAAAAACCCCAAAGAAACTTCTCAGCGTTGGCCTGCTAGATTTCAGGGTTTCAGGGGTAGTCAACTGCTGGTTCTTCAACCTGCAGTGCAACTGGTGTTCACATATTGTGGCTGGTTGTCCCTACGTACAAGAGTCCCTTGCCTTCAGGCAGCCACAATCCGATGTCGAAGATACATGTACTCAGCATGTTTATACTTACTAGACTAGATTCAGTTTTGGTAGGAATTTATTTTCAATTTTGCTAGGGTGCCGACCGAAGCCTACTCTTGTCGATTTTAGGATCACCAATAGATATTTAACGTAGATAGCTTGCACATGGGAACCTCGATATTTTTCGCACTTATAAGAGAAGGCTAGGCGTTCGATCTTACCTATCCTAAGATTAGGGGTGTGGATGAAAGACAACAGTAAGAACGAGCTAAGGGTATCAGTAGGAAGAGTCAGAAGTAAAGGACAAAAGAGTCCAGAGGAAAAAAAAGGAGGGGTGGGGGGCATAAAGATGAGACGAAAGCAAATGACAGAATATGACAAGAAAACAGGAAAGGAGATAAAAGGAGACCATTTAATAGAAGAAACTTTTTTTTTCATCACTGTCAGGTTTCCATTCCACCTTGGACCTATTAAATGAGAGGCGAGCACCATATCGCTAGACTACGACAGGCAAATCTTTAAAGACTTAAATTAATCCAGCTTCTGGGGGCATTTGAATTGAAATGATGTAATAAGGGTCTTGAACAAGTATCTTGTACTGGTAAAATTGAAAGCAAACGAGGCAGCGGCAGGTATCCCAGTGCAACTTAATTGAAAAACCTGCACAGACAGATGAGAGATGTGGAAAGACCAAGATAATCGTAGTTTTTTAAATATATTTTTTACCAAATGGTTCGAGAAAAAAAATGGATGAACATCTATGACCACCACCACTGTCTGTGGCAGTTATGGCACTTGCTGATAATGATTTCATTCTAGTTAGCTCAACACTGATCGTTATTTATTTTAGTGACCGTTCGAATACATATTTTTGTTTCTAGTAATTCTGTTCAACAAAAATAACATGTAGGGTGATTTTTTGCTCTTTGGATTAGTTATTCTCAACAGTTGTCTCACAGAGCTTTAGCTTATTGCACTGAATAGGCCTCTCACTTGCCAATAAATGTGCACAAAACACGCTTTTGGTATGATCGTTTAGGAAGCTGGACTTCACAATCCAGTTCTCAATTCAATGTAAGCTCGTGTTTAACCCTTTACTAAGAACTATCCATTCACCCTTCCATCCATTTATCCATCCATACTTCCATCAATAAATGAATAAATGAATTTTTTTAAATGGTTGTTTATTCGTCTTTAGGTGTAACCACCCCTTCACCGGTACACTTTGACCCTAGTCATATCTTTGTACGACTGGCTGGCAAAGGCTATGCTAACGAGGGTCGGGTGGAGGTCTACGCTAACGGCCAGTGGGGGTCAGTATGCGATGACCATTGGGACGATAACGATGCAAACGTTGTATGTGGAATGCTTGGATTTGACCGGTGAGTACTAGAAAAGGGCCATACCACATAGTATTAACTTGAAGAAGAATAGTGATGACGATGATGATGATAATAACAAAACACTGCTTCTTCTACTACTACTACTACTACTACTACTACTACTACTACTACTACTACTACTACT